TTCTTTCCCTGACGTCAACGGAAAATTTCTCTGTGAACTACTCTCATCGGACAAGTATAACAACTCGGACAAATTCATCACCAGCAAGGAATTTCATCACTTTCATATTCCGGTGAGTGAAACTCCGTTTATCTTAAATTAAAATAAAAGCAATCTTTTTTGAAGTTCCTCTCCTCGTTTAGGAGTTGGTCGATAGTAAAATTTTGTCGCTTATGAAACTCACTAACCCTAACCATTTACTAAATTATATGAAAAAGGTGAATTTATTAGGGTAACAAAATTACTGATAAACGAGTAGTTTTTATTGTGGTCCACAAGGTTAAGGATCCCAACTGGCCGCAGGTAAACCAGTTGGCTTTTTACAAGTGTATCCGAGGAGATGACTGACTCGAGAAGAAATCCGCTTAGCGGTCAGAGAAGAGCAGAAGAGAGAAGATAGAACTCGGCTCCTCCGGATCACAATCCTAGCGCTCTGAACCGCCGCTCGACCACTCTGCTTTGATGGCGAGAGGGAACTGAAAATTAATAGTTGCCTTGGTTATTGGAAGACGAGGGAAGAAAAAAGCAACAACGAATTTCATTATTCCCTTTTAGGGTAGCGAGAGAAAGATATCACATGAAATTTTTAATAGCAAGGAGAACAAACCAATCTAGGTTTTTCGTCTCTTTTTGCGACACATGACTGTTGATGTCCATAATATTTACTTGAGATGAGAATACTATATTACAATGTTAAGAGGTTTAAAGAACTGATTAAAGAACCAAACTATTTCTACTCCATCTTCATCTTCGTAACCGTAGATCTTAGAAAAAATCAAGTTTTTTTCCATTTCTATCCTAGCCCTATTCATGGCCAACCACTCACTGCAGTGCTTTAAAATTTCACTGCAGCTTTAGTTTATTGTCACTACCACTAAATTTGCTCAAGACACCATCTTCAACTATTTTTAATTAAAAAAACTGAAAACATATCTTTTGCACAATTTTTAGAGAGTAGGTAAATGTTCTTGTAAAACGGATTTAATACCTGTAATGCATCACACATCGAGCCACTGTATTTCTAGCCATGAAAATTTTATCTCAAAATATTTCGAAAACGCTTTCATGGATTTTGCGCAAACTTCACGAACTTCGAGGTAGCTATATTGGAGGAAAAAGATCTCGTGAACAGTTTTGGAAAAAAAAGGCCCCAGTGCCGAAAAATTCGGCTGCAAGTATATTAGCTAATGGCGTCATTTCGTAGCTATGACAACTCTGAAGTCATAGAAACCCTGGTCATAACAAATTTACCTAATACAGCTGTGCTGATAATTTTTCCAAATCTTTGTTAATAGCAACGTAGTCTATGCTCAAACTTAGGAGTTATTGACTCTGAAAAACCCTATCGAGCCACCTTAAGCTTGAACGAACATAAGCCAAATCAATATCACCTGTCTCGGTAAGGTTGTCCAAGGTACATGCAGATGCATTATTCCAAAGCTAAAAATAACATGATGGCCCCAACAACCAGCGAGCCTTAAAATGTAGTGTACTGTATACTGGATGTAAAAAGATTTATCGTCTAAAAAAAACTGTGCATATGAATCTGAGGAAAGGGAGTATAGTTTGCATATTTTTTTTCCACTCAGAATATCTGCGACACCCATCCTTGTCTTAACAACGGAAAGTGCTATTTTAAATACACCGACAAAAGGTACGGATGTGTTTGCGTATCTGGCTACACAGGAGAAAACTGCGAGAAAGGTAAATGTGAGCCGTATTAATACTAATTTGAATAATTCAATAGACTTGCTTACAACTGCAGCAGAAGAACGCGCGATCGATAATGCATGTTGTAAGAAACAGACCGGCTGAGGTGTTAATCAGGAAAAACTGTTAGCTTTAGTCAGGAGCCCTCCTGCTTTAGTGTTAGATTTGATAACGAAAAATCCGCCTAAACCGGCTTTGAGAGGCTGTCTCAGTAAAAACCGCCCACTCAATTTCGCGTGAAAACTCATTTTGCCTGAAACTCTTGCAAGTGAAAGGCTTCATCGAGACTACAACTAAAATAGGTTTGCTTTGATTCACAATAATTGTCTGGCCGCGCTGCTGGGGGGCGCCGAGTATTTTGTCTCGCCACGGCCATTTTGCACGTCTTGAAAACTGAAAATTTGGCATTTTTTGCGGCGCTGTAAAATGTTTGATTTGCACCATCTACCAATCAATTTTATACCTATTTATAGGTAAAGATCTCTAGGTTTTCCTTAAACTAATAGTTATCCCCTAAATTTAGCTGGAAAGACGAAATGGAGCAAAATATGACCCCAACTAATTGCCTTGGAGCGAAAGGCCAAAAATGACCCTGTGGTAAAAGCTTATTTCTGACGTTTGGGACATAGTTGAAAGCTCTAGAATAAATAGACGCAAAGATAGACCATCTGTTATTAATAATATACAAAACCCCATGTACGATTTCAGTATTTTAAAAGTTATGACCGTTTGTATCAACGCGTATGCGAGCTAATACCATATTTTCAGATTTAGCGTAACGGATCTGTCTCAAGCAGATTTTGTCAAAAGTACGACTTACCTAATTCATTACTGGCACTGACTCACAAATTGAGCCATATGACATGGCGGACTCCATAAAATTCCAGTAAATGTGCTTTAAAAACTGCTGGTATGCGGCCATTTTTGAATCGCATACTAACAATCCTAAGCTCAAAACAGGTGAAACTGTGTCACGTTTCGTGTTAAATAGCTCGGTAAAACAACCGTTCAGAGGTGAAAGTTTGCTCGAGAATCAGAAAATCAACTAGGCAGGTCTCATTTTGGATCAGAAAATCCAGATTTCAGAGCTACATATGGCGTTTCGTTGCGGACAAAATTATACCGATAGTAAAAACATGTTGAAAACATAATACTTAAGTCGAAACTTGTAAAGTACATCGAATGCAATAAAAAACGAGTCGAGATTTGCAAAATATATGTTCACGAACGAAAAAAAAACACGAGTCAAAATTTTGAAATTTGAGTCGAAAAAAATATGCGAGTCGATTTCAAAAAAAAGATACTCGAGTCGAGAAAGAGAGAACGCTGACCAGTTGTGATATCAATCGATGTCTTCACTTCACCGAGACGAGGTTTCGATCCAAAGTAGTGGTTTCTTGGCTACCAAATATTGCAGAGTTTTTCTTCTCAATTGCTAGACTTATCGAGGATTTGGAAAGGCAGCTTAGTTCAGCTTCATATGACAGTTCAGAATTCTTACTTCGGCGCCTTGACGAGTACAAAAGGACGAGAGAGGTTAAATCACAACTGGCACAGATACAAATAACAAAGCCAAAACATAACCTGTCACGCAAGGACCGACAAGCAAAGAATTACAGCAAAATACTGGCGCGCGGCATCGACGTCAAGCGGACAAGGGAATCACTACAGTAGACACGAACAAAACTGACAAAATAAGAGAAGGTCAAATACAAATCGACGACGAACTTAACTACAAACCTTTCAGAGGCGTAGCCAGGATTTTTCAAAGGGGGGGTCACCATCCGGGGATCGCCGACTATATATGGTTTATACCGCTGCTCTCTCTCGTGTATCAGCGGGCTCAGTCGTATTATCGCGACGTGAAGGCCCATATTAACTAAAGACAAGAGCCGTTGACGAAAATACTTTACAAAAAAACAAATTTAAAAAAAGAGGGCTTTTCAACAATGGCTTTTACGGCCAAGATATTGTCGTGGCGTTTTCGCCACCTGAATATTGTAGGTTGTTTGCTCAAAAGAGGGCCTACCAAGAGGGGGTCACGGGCACCCCAGGACCCCCCCCCTAGCTACGCCCCTGCCTTTCGTTGAACCAATGTTGAAAGAAACGCAAAGCAAGGTCAAGCGCCAAGATAATGGTAAATCTCAAACACCCAATCCACCTAGAATACCAGAGTTATACACTATTACAAAAATTTACAAACCAACTATATCTTACGACCAATAATCTTCGGGTGTGATTGTCCAACAGAAAGGGGGTAATTAACAAGCCTCACATCTATACTGGAGTGAGACCGTGTGTTAGCAAAAGAGGAAATTCTCCTTGATTCCTTTGTGCGCTAGTTAACAAAAAAAAGTTCTAGTAAGCGGGGGTCCGAGTGATTGCTTCAGTGTATACTGTCTGACAGCGCAGTTTTTTACCAATTTCATAAGAAACGGTAACATGATTATGCCTTTTTATGAAAAAACGTGATCTGTTCGATGATGATATAAATGTTATGGGAGTTGGTGTTGTTGGGTCACCATATTGGATCTTGCAGAAAACTCAGATTTCTGCAAATTGTTTTCATGCTTGAGATTTTTGTCAGTGTTCCACATCCTCTACAAAAATTAAAGTATATGCACTTCCGTTTAAAACTGGCTAGACCTGACGTCACTTATGACGTCATATCTCCTAGCCATAACAACCAATTGTCGGCATAGTTTTCAGTATAATGGAAACTGACGCAACGATTTTGTTACAGAGGCTATGGGTCAGCTATGTCACGAGGATGTCGCTGTTTTAGGTCTGTGCTAAACTCATCACTAAAATGGTGCCATCACCCATACACAAAATGATCCGTTAAAGAAGATATCAAACAAGTTCCATCAGGGAGCACTAAACAATAATAATTAATAATAATGGTGATTTTTGCGGGCACTGAGCACTGATTAAAACTTGAAAAAAATAGGCCCAATATTTTTCAAGTTTCAATACACGTCCATCCATGCCATCCTTAATAGCTGACTACAGGGAACAGTTTCAATGCCTAATAGTCTTAGATATTCATGCGAAGACACATTCAGTTAGCTTTATACAAAGATAGCAACCAACATGACATAGCTTTTTAAGGTTTGTGCTTAAAGGGTATTGTCTTCCGTCATTTCTTTTTCTTTGCTCCAATGTAGACGGTAACCTCGTGACACTTTTCACTGTTTAATCGCCTTTAAATTTAGTTTAGGAAAGATTTAATATATAAAATTTAATAGATTCTTTTTCTCCTTTTAGGTCTAGAGAAACTTGGTTATTTCTCTTCAAGTCCTGGTCATTCCTGCAAGCACATCCGGGACTCTGGTGATTCAACAGGGGACGGAGAGTACTGGATCGACCCTGAGAAAAATGGCAGGCCTTTAAAAGTCCTTTGTGATATGACAACTGATGGAGGTAAAGAAAAAATATTTATTATATAGATACTGATGAAATACTAGGATTTTCTCTTTTTCTAAAAAATCGTATCTTCATCGCGCGCAGTGAAGGTACTATTTTTTTATTATAGCGGGGCTCCCGCGCGCGCGAAGCGCGCGTGGGACAGAGCCCCATACTCATGGAATATGGTCAACCTCTTTTCGTTTGGTTGTCACGTGATTGACCGAGCGTACGTACGTACGTACGCGTCTACAGATTGTACGGGTGGGGTAGGGGAGACTATCAAAAGGAAGGGAGGGGTGTCTCAGGCGTGTCTTGGCAAGTCCACATCTTTAATATTGGATTTTAGGACATTCACAATATGGTCAATTGACAGCTGTCAAAACAGGATAGCCACTGACCAGTATCCCATGACCATATCGCGGGCTCATGTGTCAACTCATCGAGGTGACGTGATTTATTTGGAAGCTGTCCGCTGACCAGTTAATTGTTTTACTAGATCGCGAACAATGTTCAATCTCATACTTTTACTAGTTAAACTGATAATGCACACATATTGGACATCAATGTTTTGATCAATTGACAGCTGTCAAAACAGGGTATCCGCTGACCAGTATCACTTGACCGTATCGCGGGCGCAGGTGTCGACCCATCGAGGTCAAGTATTTTTTTGAAGTTATCCGCTGACAAGTTACTAGTTTTCAAGTGATCGCAGGCTCAAGTTCAAGTTTTTTCTAAATTCGTATGAAATATGTTGTGTTTATGTGCTACACAATTATAATTTTGATTGCAAACTGACCTCGGACGCGAAATTCAGCCAGCTGTAGGTACAGGCAGGGAAGACAGTTGCTTTTGACTTTTCTCACCATGGTCACGCGTTGGTCACGCTCGACGTCCAATTTTTATGCTCTGATTGGTCAAAATTTGACAGGTGAGTCCATGCGGAAAATTTATGCAGCATCTTGAATCTTGTTTACTTTGACAGCTGAAGCTGACAGAGTTTTGGGTCAACTTGTGATGTTTTTAACTGTCTTTTTCCACTGGATGTGCAAAATGAAATTCAGCTGCTATCAGGAGTCCTCTGTTATTCATGGCTAGTTTGTTTATTGGGTTTTTGGTTGAGGAATACGTCGCTTGTCAAAGTCGGAAATCCGATTTCGGATGGCATCGTTTTCGTTTTCACCTTGCTTGATGCGTAAGAGGATTGCAAAGTCTGAAGCGATACTGGCTTTTCTTGATACCTTTCAGGAGCAGCATCTCGAATGGTAAGCCAGAGAAATTATTGTTTTTGATGTTTGTGTTTTTGGATCTAATTTAGTGACGTCGTGCGGAGTTTATGCGGTCATTTAGTTTATGCACGTTTGTAAGATTTGAGACAATGATCTGACCGAGTATCAGGTTTGATATAAGCTTACAGAACTTTAAAAAGCCTTTAGACAGTTTTTCACCGCAAATAGAAAAAAAACGTTCCAAAGAATATTTAGATATAATTCTGACCGGAAAAGAAAGCTTTGAGTGATTTTCTTGCCTCGAGTTCGTCTTTGAAAAAAGCAAACACCGGGAAGCCGGCTTAAAACATAAACTTAAGCTTGAAGCTTGAAGACTCAGGATTTTTAGGGATACTTTAATACTTGTCTTCCTGAATGAAAATTGTTGTTTCTGTATATGTTTCACCGAATTATAGTCTCTCTTGTAATTTTAATCGCTGTGCCGATTGTTTTCAGTCGTTCAGTGGACATCGCTTGCAGGAGTACTCAAAATGCCGCGCGTTAATAAACCATTAAATAAAAAATAAACAGAGTAAATTCTTTATAATTTTGGAGCGTAACTCTGTTAATGTTCATTCAAACACTCGCCACAGCTCGCACTACAAAAGTGAGAACCGGATGGCTGTATAGGTGATTTTGGAATTTTTTTTAACAGTTTATGAATATTGAATGAGTGCAATTTGTATTGTGAAATACTGCTTTCTGTCCGAGGTCTGCCGGTATGATAAAAACAGTGCCTCATACTACTGTTTTACCTCAGATGTGATGTATAAATGGTATAAAAGGTTGGTTTACACGCACCCAGATTTGTCGACAAGATTTTGCAAAGTAAACTTGTCGAACGCAAAAAAGTTGGCCTGATTTTTTTTCCCACTAATTAATCTACGGTGATCAAGAGCCATTGTGGTTCTTAAATGTGATCGAGGATGATTACCAGTTTTTGGGTGTACATATGAGGCTATCAACTCGATGTAAGATTTGATTCACTCTTGGGTTGTTTGCAAATTATTTTTCTCTAAAATCAGGTAGCCTTTCCCTCAAAAGTCACATAAATGTGCTCTAAAGTTAACTGAATTGTGGAATTCGAATACAAGTTTATTGTTTAATTTAAATTATAAATTTATTAATGGGAGCCTCGCTTTTAGGCCTGGCTAAATCTATATATTATACATACTGAGAAATACTCACCAAAAAGCTATGTCGTAAATTTTCGTACGCAAATTAGTTATAGCCAATCAGAGGAGCGAACGATGGTTTTCACACGTGATAAAAACGATACGTCCAATCAGAATCGCGAACGATGTTTTTTCACGTGTGAGAAAAATGATACGTCCAATCAGAAGCCACAGAGGTGTAGGAGTTTCGCGCCAAAATTCCCGCCTTTTATTGCAGCTTGCAGCGCCGCTTCGCACACATTTATCAACGAGAAAAGTTTTACTCAAGGAGTTTTTCTCGCTAAAAAAGTGAAAAACATTTCGGAAATGGAGTGGAATAGTTTCGTTTGTTTCACTGTCGATAAAAAAATACGGTAGAGAGCCGGTGAAACAACAGCGGAAAGGGATAAACAGAACGAGACGTAAGCTTTTGTTGTGCTTTTTGTCGGAGCTACTTTGCCTTTCATTTAAGCTTAAGCTTATATTGAAACCGGCCATTTTACTTAAATTCACTCATTTTCAATTGTGTATTGAGAACAAACAGTTAAGATTACTTATAGTTCTTGGATTAAACCTCATATCCTCACCGTCATTTATGTTTTTAACAAACGTTTTTACTAAAAAGCTGATACTTCGTTTTCGTTGTCATTTTGCGGTAAGTGTGTAGCGGCAAATTTTAGCATTTTTGAAAGATTTAAAATAAAAAGGCCCGCAAAATGATGAATGACTCAGTATGTATATAATAAACACAATACCACATGGAAAGTGCTTTGTACGGTATTTACGCACTCGTTGTTTTTGTATCAGAAATCTTACTCGTTCGCTGCGCTCACTCGTTCGATTTCTGATACGTCAACAACTCGTGCGTAAATACCGTACGCCAGCACTTTCCATGAAGTATTCTCTATCAGTATCTATAAAATAAACAGAACATTACATGGCCGCTTGGGGATACGAATTTTATCCTCTCGTGCTGAAAGTATCTCTCACTCGTTCTCTTCGTTCACTCGTGGGAGACACTCTCAGCACTCGAAGATAAAATTCGTATCCCCAAGCGGCCATGTAATATCCTCTATATCTATTGTCTTATATGTCAACTCGTTGAAAAAGGCAGAGATTTCACAATCACTGGAAATCAGTTGCCAATTGTAACTTTGGCCTTTTTGCTTCCTGTCAATTATAGAAAATACTTCTGCTTGACTTCAGACTCGTCGACTGTCACTGTCAAATATCTAGCTTTAACTCATAAGTAATAAAACGGCAAAGATTCTTGCACCTGGAAATAAAAAATTATGTTGATTTCAGGAGGCTGGCTTAATGTTGCCACCTTAAAGAAAGCCGACTCTTCCCCTACTTGGACCGCTGAAACTTCATACCACGGGATCAGTAACTATCAGAATAACTTAATGGGCATTAGCACAAGTGCCATGCGTCAACTGAGGTCGCACTTGAACTTCACTCAACTGAGATTCCACTGCAGTAAAGAAACTGGGCGCACCTTTCACGTCATCACGGTCAATAACAGTACTGGGGAAGCTGTAGTACAGTATTTCAGCGGTCAGTCAAGTGTCCTGCCCGCTTCATGCGGCTCGTTCATTACAATGAAGGACGACAACTCGTATTTAGCTAAACAGTGTCACCGATGGGGAAACGATGGATCACGACATCATGTTGGAAAATGGGGTCACTTCAACAAAAACGAAGAACAACGAATGTACGACCATTCTGCGTTTGTTGCCCGCCGATATTACTGGGTTGTTTATAACAACGTATGGCTCTGTGATGAGCCAGGAGACAATGTCTTTGCAACTTCTACAGAAGATTTCTGGAAAATCTATGTTCGCTGAAAATGAAGGATAAAAAATGCTGTCTGCTTGACTGTGTTTAAAATACTTACAGAATCGATGAATCTGTAGTTTACATGATAAGAAAATTACACAGTTTTTTCTTTTTTAAGGCTCCTTTTTTATAACAACGTTGAGGATGAAAGTGAGGAAAACTGGATGGAAACACGATATTCTTTTAACAACGTTTAATTCGAATATGTACTTCTCACCTGGACGAAGTCATGTCAATTTTTTCTTTATTATTCAAATCCATGGAAATATTATGATGAGTTAGCATACAATGTAGAAATAGTGGTTTCAGTAGGCTTTTAGTGGCAACCTCTTTTCTAATATCTTTTCGCCCCTTGTAAGGGTATGCGGATTCCGGAATCTGTGAAATCTTTGCTTGTGGAATCTGGAATCCTACTAAGGATTGGAATCCAGAATCCAATTTCCACTGACAAAGAATCCTGAATCCATTACCTTGAATCCGGAATCCACGGCATGGAATCCAGAATCCAAGACTTTCGTGGATTCCTTTACATGGAGCGAATCTTTCAATGACACGGGCCTAAGAGCTTAGGAGAAGAGGGACCGTAGAAACAAGCTCGGATTTCTGGCTGCATTGATAAACCAATTTCGATTTCATTTAAATTCATACTTGGTTCAGAGGCTTGGGGAATAAGTCTATAGACGAGTCGCCTTGAGGTCCAGAATGAATAATACATTTCTTTTGTTTTATTTCCCTAAGCCTCGGATTAAATAACGTAGTTGAGTAAATATAATAAAGCTGTAACTTATTAAAAAGGAAGGTGGTAACAATTCTATCAAGAAATATAGAAATAAACTTTATTTAAATAACCATTCCTCGCCAAATTTAAAAAATAAAATGGCTGTTAAAAATCGTTTTCACGGGAACGTTGCCGCCAAAGGATCCTGAAGGATCTGAAGTGCAACGAAAAATCACGAAAATTTAAAATAGTCCCAGTTAGTTTATAGAAAACTTGGTGGTCAACGCTTAATAGTTGTTCAAGTTATTTAACTTGGAGAGGGCTTCTAAAAAGCCCTTCTCCCTCTCTCCCTCCCCGTTCGATAATTCGATAATTCGCAGGAAAGTGAGCTGTCCATTTTTTGACTTTGATTAATTTATGATTATTTTTTCATACTTGTTCACAGCCTCCACTGGTACAAAATGAGCGATGATCGCCGGCTCGAGTTGTTTCCGCGGGAGTTCCGAGTTCAAATCATGGACAACCTTTGTAAACTGACCCAAATGAATTGCATCCTGCCGACCAGTTGGGATTGTTAACCCTGATATAAGCTGATATATATGTTTTATATGATTTTTTTTGTTACAGTCAGTTGCTCCGTCCCACTAGTCTTTACGTAAAAGATACCACCGAGGGCATATTAAAATCTAAGCAATGCGCGCTTGAAAGGCAACGCTTCGGTGGTTTAGCCATAAGACTTGCTAGACCTATTAACATTTCCCTTAACAGAAACAGTAGGATGTGCATAACATTGATTAAAAAAATCTCCCCATCGCCTCTCTATGAATAAATAACTAAATAACTTACAGCTGTTAAGAAATTGCTTTTTGTAGTGCGCCTTTATCATCATTTTTAATTATTAACCATCTGCATGGAAAATTCAAGTTTAATTTGTAAGACATCAACCGCCTTACAGGTTTAAAACTTTGATGCCCATGTCTACGTACATCTCCGAAAAGAAGAACAAAACCCAAAAACAATCAGTCAAGGTTCTTGATTTCCAGATTTTGGGTTATTGATGTTGTTGACCTTTTCATTTTTGTTTTATTCATTTTTCTTTTTTGCTTGTTACCGCGGAAACGAATAAAATATTTATTACTAAAACTCAAATTGTAAAGTAAATTAATAAGTGTTGGTACAAACATAATTCTCTTAAGACATTATTTAATTTTCGGAAGGTTTTTTCAAAGTGGTACACAGAGAACAAGGAAAGCATGATTCTTCTATCCTGTTGTAAAAAGGGCTTCTTCAGTTACTGAGAGACTAAATTAGGTGTAAAATCACTTTGAAAGCAGTCAGCCATTGGAGCTTCTATACAAAAAAAATAGAGCCGCTCATGCAGCTCTGACTACCAATCAGAGTGTCCTTGTTTATTTAACTAAGCCAGCCGTTATCCATAGTAATGATTTCAGGTGTAATTTCATTCTCATGTAAGCGTGTACGATAGATTGAACTGTTGTAGATGAGAATGAACTGGTTTCTACTTTGTTAGACAAATGCAAGTTTGGTAAGAAACTCATTTCCGCTCGATTGTTTCTGTTTTCCTTAACATACTAGTTGTATATTATGGCTTTTTTTTACAGTAAATACTGTAAAATACTACTTTGTTTTTAAATTCGTCACTGTGCCTTGTTTCGTTCTATTTGTAGCGATTGTTGGCACCATGTTTCTATCTATTTATATTCCATTCATACTGATATTCTTGAGGACCTCTATACTCTTATCTGCACCAGATTACTGTGGTAACTTGTTTGAAAGTTTTTCAGGTACGTGTTTGATCATCATGTCTTGATTTGCAAACTTGTGACGTGCAGTACACTTAAGACTCTTTCAGAATCCTAAGTTCACCTGTCTCAACTGTTTCAAAGGCATGGAATTTTGTTCTACATCTTTGAGATAAAATTAAATATTTTAAGCAATGCCAATCAATTTTAGCTTTTTCGTGAGAGTTTGCTCGAGTGCGCATCGTAAGTTCAACGAAGTGTAATTTTTTTTCAGCCTCATAAATCTATTTTTTGTTTGTTACTGTTCTCAACTATTTTCGATTTTGTTCTGTGTAAGCACTGTACCCTGTTTTGAAATAGAATGGCAGATTTTGTCTATCAATAAACGCTAAAGGGATTTAAAATAATCATGAACGATGTCATTTTTAATTTTTTTCTTTCTCTTGATATATAGCATTGAAGCAGCTTACTCAGTAGAGTTTTTAAAGCTGTAATTTAAAGGAAAGTTTTTCATGCACCTGAATTTAAGGGTGGTCGCACTACCGTGGTTGAAAAGGAAGTGCTGTTGTACCAACGCGCATCCGCAAAACACAAATCGTGCAAG